AGAACGCAGCTATTCCGCGAGATGCTTGCTTTTTTCTGGCGAGTAATTTCCGGAACAAGCARATTTTGTGAGTGCTGTCAAACGTCTCAGTGACAGATGACAATGATTCATGAGCGAAAAAAATGTTAATGAATAAAAAATTTAGTATATGTGTACGTTAGCATCTGATTTCACCTGGTATTATATACAATTTTTGCCCGGGATTTTTAGGTTATAAATAAGTGGCAATATATGATTTTCACGGAACTGTCGTTACCTCAGTTCAATTCATTGAGTCTTTACAAGATTAGAGTAACAGTTGTGTAAAAAAGATAAATTTAACACCGTTAAAAAAGTATGTGAAATAACTTACTGACATGTCGGACGTTAATAGCTTCGTCGGAGTAAGAAAGATTAGAGTGCCGAGGGGTACAATGAAATATTCGGCTYCATCATCAATGCTTGCATGTTATCGAAACGTAGGAAGCTCATAGTGAAGATGCAAAAAAGAAACGTTTCTTTGAAATTAGTTATCATGTTTTGTCAAAAAAGCGCATGGCATGAAATAAGCTTKACGGTTTACAGCCGTTACGGATAACACGTAGGGAGTCGAACGAAAAATCCTACTGGATTCATGCATTTTACCGATGTCAATCATAGACATTTCCATGACTACCATTGGATAGCTCCTCCCCCAACATGAATTGGTTCTATTCTTGGTTTGCATGTTACGTCACAGCGGCCATCTTTTGTCACGAACCGATACTTGACCTGTTGTGAACTCTTTATTGAATCTCTGTACACTCTAGATTCCTTACAATATTGAAGCTCTCTGCTCTTATAGTAACATGTTTCTAAATATAACCTATGACCTAATCTAAGACATTACAAGTGTTACTATTAATAGGACATTATGTAATCAAGATTGTTCTAGAAAGTTCCATTCAGCATGACTCAGCACTTTGCTATAACAACGAATACATTTATATAAACGTCTAGAATGTTCTGGAATATGAATGAACAAATACTAAATAACATGAACTACAGTTCCTCACACTTTGAGGAACTTTAACAAAGGATTTCTCATTAGTATCTCTTGTTCATTCCTCCAACGTGGCCGCCGGTCTTTTATCTTTTGAATCTCATGGGAATGGGTGAAAACGATCAATAACTCCTAAGTTCTATCAAAGTATAGAATTAATTTGTTTTCATATAAAGAATTGAAATTTTCTAAAAAGCGAAAACTAAATCTGATTTGAGTCTTCACCAGGGCATTAGAGCATAACAAGAAGAATCGCAAACACTTTTTGGGCTTGATCTTGAGATCAAAATCAAATATAATTCATAAGGTRTGTAAACACAATGGAAAATCATTTCCTTGACCGCATCTTTATATGAGTAGGAGATTTATCCTGATTTGCATACAACTTTAATTTCGATTATCTCTTAAAAATGATACTTCATCTTCATTTCTTCAGCAATATACGCTTTAGCTTATGTTGGAATTTCAAATGCTAGCAATTAAACATATTCGCGGTCGATCTTTAATACTTTAATACTGGTTGTTAACAGTTTGCAGCGGTTTCAAATGCCGGCCTTCCAGCCTTGCTCATATCACACTGGAAAAAATCGCGCGCTTTAAAGGTTGTAAATTTGATGTAAATATGATGTAAGTGTCCAAAATTCTGTAAATTTGATGTAAATGATTTACAACAAATTTACAGAAATTTGGACACTTACATCATATTTACATCAAATTTACAACCTTTAAAGYGCGCGATTTTTTCCAGTAGTATATTTCATATGTAACACCCTTTAGCGTCAATCGTCTACTAGACGGGTGACCAAAGAAACTAAGTAAATCCATTTCATTTTGTTAATGGATGCAAAAGAAAATCATTTTATCTAAGAACAGCAATCAAGATGTTCTAGTCCAATTTCTATTCTCCATATAATTGGTACAACTTTAATAATAAAAACATAATGGAAAACGTATCTGAAGTCACATTGTAAATAGAACCAAGTGGATTGTTGGTTGAGATTTTTCTTCTAAATGTGCAGATAAACAACTYGATTCAACATAAATTTCCAAACGGTCCAAATTTGATTTTTGCATGAAGTCTTATTAGTAAAGCTAGTGAGCTGTTGTTGAACGATGAATCTTCTTGTGAATGACATCATCCCAAATTCACCTTTGTCAAAACATTTCCATAAGTCATATACAAATAAATGAATGACTAAACGAGTGTAAGCTATATTTTTAGCATATTTTTTATAAAAAAATATGCTAAAAATTATAGCTTACACTCGTTTAGTCATTCATTTATTTGTATATGACTTATGGAAATGTTTTGACAAAGGTGAATTTGGGATGATGTCATTCAAAAGAAGATTCATCGTTCAACAACAGCTCACTCCGTTGCAGTTCATTTAGATGTGAGTGCTAACTCTATGTTACTCCAGCATTTTATCCACGTATTTATTGTCCTACTCAGAGTGCTAAATTGAATTCTGTATTTTTATAGAATGAATTCACATTCAATTATTCATGGTCCATGTAGTTTAATTACTGGGATACGCTACAAATTATTTTTCAACACCTGCCAAAAGTCTGAGACTAAAAAACTTTATTTTACAAAGTATATTAGGTATATGTTTTGCAAGGTAGAAAAAGAGTCTATTTTCATGAAATATAAAGATTTACTTTACCTAAAACTGAAAAATTCCGACCACATTATGACCAGAAATACGTCTGAGGAGTTGGTCTGAGGAGTTGGACAGTCGCCATCAGCATGTAAGCATAACACAAAGAAGTAAACAAATCAGAAATGTTTTTTTTTTTACTTAAATTGCAAATTTAATACATCAATGAAGAAATGACAAGTTTGAAATCAGTAAAACTTCGAAGGAAATATCGCCTGTATTTTGTACAGCGAGATGTTCTGGCTGTTTTATTCAGCCATTAGCTGAAWTCGTAAGTTGGAAAGAAAGGCTAAGAAAACAATACCACACTGACATTTGAACGCAAAATGTCTGGTTAATAATGAAAGCCAGCGAAAGCCGGGCATTCTAAAAAGACTCCTTTACTAAAGCTTTTTAAAAACCAGTAGAAGGAATTAAGCTTTAAAATCAAACCTCTCTTCTGTAACTTGYACTGCAACAAGTTTTGGTTGACCAAGAGAGCTTTTAATAGTATCACTACGTTCGAAGCTAACGGAACGCCGTGATAAAGATATCTCACTGAATGTTGAACGCATCCGCTCTCTTTGACAGTTTATAAAAACACGACGAAAACCATTGCGAAAAGATTTGATTAAGGTAAAATATAAGAAAGGGTTGATAGCTGAATTAAAAGTCAGAGCAATAATAGTAACGCCAAGCACCAAATCATATCTCAAGTAATCAAGAAATCCAAAGAATTCGTTCAAGCCAAAAGCAGTGTACGGAATTCCACAAAAGATATAGAACATGCATGTGACCAAGATGGCTACTTTTAAAACTCGTTCTCGCGCTTTATGTTGGTTTCTWCGAGCTTCAAGTTGACTTGAAAGTACTTGATCAGGTCTTTTTAAAGCAATGATTGCACGACTATAGAATGTTATCATAGCAATGGACGGAATGAGGTACATCGCTATGGCATACACAATAAAGTAGACCTTGCGGTTGAACCACACATGATGATCGTGACTTTCAGAAGTACAAATACCAACTTTGCTGTCGAAATGGACTGTAATCAGYTCAACAAAGTAAACACYAAACCCTGAGAGCCACGAAATAAGTAAAATCCATTTTAATCTTGCTTTGGTACCTCCGCCAAGGGCTGAAAGAGGATGGACAATGGCTTTATAACGTTCGAACGCCATTGMTGTTAGTAATAGAGGTGAAACTGCTCCRCCGAACCAGTAGGCRTATTGGAMTCTACAAAGTAYYTCAGCTAAARTGTYRCTCTGATTGTATGCCTGTTGGAGMACTRGTGGACCAAGAACACCTCTGTTRTCGTTTGCGATGACAAAAAATATTCCAAAGAAACCAGTCATGGCGTCTAGTATGGCAAGGTTTAGTATGATGTAATTCATGGACGTCTTCATGGATTTAAGTCTAACGATGATATGACAAACCAAGGCATTTCCAATGATGCAGATAGCACCAATAATTATRCCAGAAATATGAACAGCAAGGACTGAACTATCACTCATATTCGCAACTTTAAATGCTCTCTTTTTTGTTTCTTATGTRATATTGTSTCAAATACAATGAGACTAGTAACATTTGGCAATTTGCTYGCTGCGATTTWATTAAATATTAAGCAGAAAACACGCAATGCGAGGTGTGTTAGACCAATAGCCATTTCTCTAGATAAATGCTATAATTAGAGTAATCCAGAATTTRATTGAAAATTGATCTTAAARCGTAATTGAATTTTTTSAAGTACGAYCGTTAATGGATTGTTATCTTTCTTCTTAAGAAAAAAAGTTTGTTGAACAAAGAGAATTTATTTCATGCTAAAAAGAAACCTAGAGCGGATTTCGTATGWGTGGGAAACGGACGGTACTGTACTGTGACCGTAATCGTACTGTAACCAAATTTTAGTGCCTCATTGGTTCACCAAAATTGTGCAGGCCAGGTACGGTAACTGTGCGGTAACCGTGCGGTAACGGTGTCCCACTCATACGAAATCTGCTCTATAAGGGACTTGAAACGTGTAACGCCGTGCCAACCGTTGGAATATTCAAATCTAATTTGCATCTCATTTCCTTATTTGGAACAATGAAATTCACCCTATAGCCAACCAGAACGGGCCTTAAATCTCTTATCCAACCGCCCAATTTTCCAAATATGGTCACAACGTTCGTTTTCGATTTTTAATGAGCTTTGAATATTCCGACGCTTGGTACTAAAGAAATGTACGGGCGTTACACGTTTCAAGTCCCTTATGGTTAYGAACGCCTTACTTGGGATGCTAAGTTCAGTAAARATAAKACTATCCWTRGTCTTTCCATCAAAATTCACTTCAAAAACATTTTTATCTTGACAGACCTTTATTTGAATGTCTAGTGAAATTTATCAGACAATTGTGRTTTTAGCATTKYGACATTCAAACAGAAKATTTCATCGTAAAAGATCACCCATTTGTACCCAAATGTCTATTACAGCATTTTATTCAAGTT